GAGCTAGCATACTATGTTCCTTTTAGGATGGTATTTTGTTATTCATAACAACTGAGATCATTGGGCCTGGACATATGCGCCATTTCTAAGAGCTGGGTTTATAATTACCATTTTGATTGCTGCATCTAATTATTCCCTTAGGTTTACCTGTCCCTGATAGCTACTGTGCAAATCTGACATAAGCAGATATACCAAATGGTTGAATTTGAGTGGGTGTAATTTGCTCTGTACGTCACTAAAGTGTTGGCTGTGGTCTGCAAATGTGCTAAGTTGCACAACCGAAGGTGTAAAATCCTTTCTGACATTTGCAAACATCAGTCATTTCAAGTTTTTTTTTTCATTCAGTCATATGCCCACTAAGCTATCTCATCAGTATCAATTGACAATAAGCTTAGCATAAGCAAACAACCAGTCAGTCATAGCCACACTGTGTAACTCATCAGAAGCCTTATTCTAATCATATGGTCAGATGCCACTAGATGGAGAGTGAAATTAGTTAGATATATGAGTAAATAATGTATCATTTTAGTTCCAAGCCTGCACAACTGCTAATTTCACCATAATAATTCCCCACATAACTGAAATTAGGTTTTTTAGTTGAAATGCAGAAACATTCCCAATAAATGTTATTAACATCAAATTATCTGCTTCAGTATTTTTGAGTTATATTCTGTGAATCTTTATTTAAAAACCTGAAAATCCACAGGAAAGGAAACAAATGCTTCATGCCCAATGGCAAGCAAATAAATTATTCTGGGAAGACAATATAAATAAAGTTCTTATTTTAAGAACACATTACTTCTTGAAATGAAAAGCAATTTTAAATTGCCCACCTAGAAAAGAAAAAAACAATCCCCTCAAGTTTAAATGATACCAAAAATTCCAAATTGTTGTACATAAATATTTTAAGAGAATCGAATTGCTTTTCTGGGAGAGCGGAGTGGCTTTCAGATTATTTTTTATTTCATTTTTACTTGGCAGACTGGTAGTTTCTGAGGAGCGGGGCAGATACTCAGAAAAATTACATTAAAGAAAGTAACGTGTCCATCTTTTAGGATATATCTGGTTCAGTGTCGTCAGAAGGTAGTCTGCCCTCTCTCTGGAATCAAGTTGCAAACACTCTCCTCAATAGTAATTAGAGCTAAGCAGCAATTAGAGGACCTATGATTTGTTCAGATGCTCTGCCTGTCTGCTGTTTCTTAGCACCGCAGTTCACAGGAGCACCAGGTTGAAATGATGGAATTATTTGTCTCTCAGTGTAATACCTCATACAGTGCTCGAAAGCAGAAGTGACCGGGGACTGTAATCTTAAAAACGAAGGTAAGCATTGCTGACTGATGAGTATTTACATCTCAGGGCATCTTTTCATGAAGTGTGTAACACAAATGTAAAACAATTAAAAATCAATTTCAGGAGAAGTGAGAAGTATCAGAATTAGAACAAACAGAATTTGCTCATTTCACGACTCCCTTGCCCAATATCATTGTGGTTTCCTAGCTTGTTTTTTATTTCAATTGTAATACTGGGTCCTTTTGCTAAATATAATGAAGATGTGACTGGTTTCCCACATTTCTTTTATCTTCATGAATCTTTATCTTCCATTACCTTTATCCTTTTCCTTTTGAAGTTTGTCTCAGAATAACTATGAGGTAAAAATAAGATTCATATTTAATCCAAGTATGTTGGAACCCTCTCTCTTTTCTTCAGGAAGTATATTTAAACTGATGATTGTGCATGTTCAAGAATTCACATTCGGAATGACAGAATAGTGGCTAGTAGCCTATAATAAAATTGAGTGACGTTGGTAATTTGCACTCTTGTCACATGATTTTTATGATAGGCACATTTCAAGCTTTTAATCTTCTATCTAGTTCAAGTCAAAACTCAATAGCTTTATGTTTATTTGGACCCTTGGGCATATAAATCTCTCTGGAAACCAGGTAAGCTTAGCTCCTCAAGAGGGAGTATTTATTGTCTGTTATGTGGATAGATGTATTTTGTATATATACAGTAGATATTTGTGAAATTCTCATTTCTATTTTGATATTATCACTTTTGTTTTCCCCCACCTAAAATAACTCTTTTCTTTCAATTTTGCCATTTTTAAAACATGAATAAATATAACTGTTAGGAGAGAGCTTAGAAACTCTTGGCACTAGGAAGATGTTTTTATCTTTTAGTCCCCAGTGGGATTTCAGGTGGTTTGGAAAATATTGAAAGAGCACTGACTTCTTTTATTCTACCTCATCGGTGGATTAGAAATGTAAACACAGAGGATTCAGTACACTCTTGCAAAAAGTGAATAGATTAAAGCCAATGCATTGATTTTTCCAAGGTACTAGAGATTTTGTGATGCGGGACAGCTTAGCAGACACTGTTGCTCAGTGTAGTTATCACAGTTAGGCTAGCACTTGATTTTGGAAGAAGTTTTTTTCTAGCCTGGGTCCATCATTGGCTGCATTTTGTATATTTGCTTTGTCATAGAATTATTTATCCTTGAGCATCATTTTCTTTATCAGGAAAACATGGGATGTAACAGTTTAGAAATATTGTTAATATACGGAAAAGCACCTTGTCCTCCCCAATGAAAAGTTATAGTATTTATATGACCTAGGGCGCTGATAATGAATTTGTATAAAAATGTGCCATTGAATTTTATGGTGGATTTAAGTTTTTAATTTGTCCCACTCTGTCATGCCTATGGCAGATACTCTCAGGTGAGTACATATGAAAACCACCCTCAGTTGTTACGCCTGATAGGACTATTTGAAACATAACTGGAGCTACGGCCTTAATTTAATTGTTTTATTTTGTCATGAGGACAAACTTGTGCAGATATTAGCAAAATATTGCTATTTTTTTATTTATAGAAGCAAATACTGAAAACAAAATTAATACAGTATAGCTGCAAAACAAGGCGAATTTTATGAGTCCTTTCTAGTTCAATGGCAATATAAGAGAGAGAGAGAGAGAGAGACAAAGAGACAAAAAGGTGAGAGGGACAGACAGGCACATACTCATAACGCGATGCCAGAGACATGAGAGAGACAAGAAAGATGGGAGAGACAGAAAAGACAAGTGAGTGAGAGGGAGGGTGGCTAGGGAGACAGTGAAAGGTGTTAGAGAAAAAAAGAGACACGAGGCAATCAAAGACTGGAAATGAAGATTGTACAATTTGGGAACTTTGATTTCTTTTGGCAGTTTCTTTAACTCGAAGCATGCTTTGTCAAATTAAATACATTGAGCACCAGGTCCATTTCCATGAATTGTTTACTTTCCGTTGTGTCCTTTAAAAAAGGGAGCTGAGAAGGCTGTTGGAAGTTCAGAAGAGACCAAGAGTCAAAACAAATGTTCTTCTAAAATAAAATAGTCCCATTGCTTTGTAGCCTTATGAAGCAAATCATTGAACAGGAAAGTGATGTGTACTATGATTAATTTCTTGACTTTTCATGTGGCTCCTTATTAAAAAAATCATTGTCTTTGACTTTGGAGTTCATTGGAGGAGTGAGGAGTCATTTGGGAAGTTAAAAAGACATTCCACAGGAGAAAAACTGGTACAAAGCCAGTATATTGATACAAGAACAAACATGATACACAGGGACAGGGGCAATCGTTTATGATGAATCACTTCCAATGCAAAAAATCCTTGGACATTCACTGGAGGGCCTTATCTGATGTTTTTCATATCACTGGTGCCCCAGAAGCTGCCTGTGTGACTGAAGCAAGTAGCATCAATTTCTAGGATGTCAGGACCATGGCAGAGTTCCAAGAAGCCATGCCAGGGATTGGTCATTCTGTTCAATACCTACTAAAGACCCTTTGGAGTACAGCATCCCCTGGGTCACAGGACACTCTGTGTTTCTCAGTATAAGGGTAGTATCACATTGTCTCCCAGTTGCCCAGGTCTTTTGTTTGAAGGAGATAGATGCCCTGCCTAACTAGATTGTTCCTATTCATATAGTTTTCGTTCTGCAATACTTCATTCTATACAGATTTCTGCCACACAATCAAAAGATAAAAGAGAAGGAAATTATTTTAGGAATGAGATGTTAAAAAATTCCAAAGAAGGAATCAGTGCTACTTCTAGTCTTCTCTGCAAAATTAAGCCAAGCTCACCACTTCTCTGTCCCTCTCTAAATGACCCTCACCCGTTTCCTCATCCTAACCTCACCATCTCCCCATTACTCATGATCTCTGTTCACCCCATCCCTGCATGGCCAGCAGGTTTCCACAGGGATGCAATGCTGGCTTTCCTGCTGCCTCCACAGCAGCCCCACAGCCAGGTAGGAACCATCTTTCCTGCTCCAGGGTGAAAATGGTTTTTTGGCTGATGATGGACCAATAGTGGCCTCTTCTATAACAGTCATCATGATTATAATACTCCACTAGGATTTTTTTTTCTGAATACTCCATAGCTTATTATAGTTGTGGTGGCCATAGTCTATGAGTACAAAAGGGAAAAAGGGTTACAGCACAGTTTTTACTGTTTCTATTTATTCCCAACTTACACTGTTCATTACTATTTTTTCTTTTTAACATGGGCAACAGCTTTGAATAGCTTAGAAATGTTTGGTTAATATTTAAGCTAGGGAAATCATTTTTCTCTTCCAAGGTGAAAGTTGAGAGCACTGGTATAGCAAATATTAACTTTGTTTCTTTAAATTGAGCAAGCTTCTGCAGAGGGGATGCGGGAGTGTGTGTGTGTGGGAGGGGGCGATTGGTGGAAATACCTTTTTAACAGGAACATTAAGTAAACCACTGCTTCTTTTTTTTTTCTTTTGATTCTTAAATGCAAATATCCTACCTAGACACTAATGCAAGGACTGAAATTCTCTAAAACCAAGAGGGAAAACATTTTATGTCCTGGAGCTAGAATTTAGAGCAACAGTTGGGTGTGTGGACCTCCTGAGTCGCTATGTACAGCTCTTACAGCCCCCCACTCTGTGTGAGCTGCTGAGGAGAGGCCACAAGACAGCCAGAGGCCTCAGTGGCCCTGCTGCTTTGATCCGCTCCAATGCAAGGTCAGTTGCCATTGCTTGGGAAATGTGTCTTTTCCAGATAGCAGTGCTGATAGTATAAAAACCACCAACAGAAATGCTAGTATGCCTCCTACTATCAGGCTACTTGAATTAGCAAGATTGAGCCACACAGTATGGTTAAAAGCATAGTTTGAATGGGGTTTGTTCTCTGTTTTTCCCATTGGGAATATTAGAAGAATTATTTAAAATGAGGTTTTGGAATTCATCTTCTGTTTAATATGGAAAGAAACATTGGCTCTGGGCCGCTCAGGCTTTTCTCTTTCATTTTATTTCTTTCTTTCATTAGTCATAGTAATAAACCATTAAAATTAAAATCTCATTCAAAAAGAAATGCCCCTAAATTCCAGTCAAAATATAAAAAGAAAATGAAATACTAATCTACTTAAATTTTTAAAGACGATAATGACCATCCTGTATGATTCTTGCACATCTTTGATCATGAAGACTTAAATATCCCCAGTGTCCCTGGACAAGGAGCTCTGGGTTCAATTCTCCCCTCAGACAGACACCATGCATCATTAAGTTCTCCCAATTGCAGTTTTCTCATATAAAATGAAAGGTAAATTTCTAAATTATGTTAACCTCTAACATTTTATGAAATATAGTTCCTCTGTGAATATTATTCAGTGGTTTGAGAAACATAGTTGTTGTTTTTTTCTAGGAAAGTCTGTATTTTTAGGAAGGTTTCTAAAATAAGTCATAGTTCTAGGCTGCCATGAGGTCCCTGGCATGCTGTAAGGGAAGAGCACATAGCTCCTCTGTGACAGAAAGAAGCTGCAAACCCCAAGAAGGCCTCTTGATGCCACAGACAGGAGTCACTGGGCAAATGTAGCTCAGGGACCATCTTCCTGGGGTTTTTTGCCAGAAAATTTCGTCAGGCTACTGTGACCTCCCCATCTATTTGCGACCTCAGACATTTTTAGTAAAGCCCTGTCTGGATATAATTTTGGCTTCTCTAAAGACTTAGTAATTTAGGAACTAAGCACATGACATTCCCTTTTGATAAGTCAGGTGTATTAAAAACTATTTCAAAAAACTTGACAAAGCATTTGTCAGAACCCTGTTTTCTCTTCTTTGAGTTTCCTTTCCCACATGGTCATGCTTAGCACTATGGGTTACAAGTGGAAAAACTATAACAAAGAAAAAATGTTTCAAATTCAGCTTAAAAGAAGACAATTAGATCTGGTGGCTGTTTTTTTTTTTCTTGTTGTTGTTGTTGTTGTTTTTAAACCAATGATCTTCTTTACTGAAATTCTGAAAGTCGCAGATTCTTCAAAGCAGCTTTAAAAAAAGGATTGCAACTGATGAAGTATGTCACAGTTTTATTCAAACTATATTTTGTACTATATAGCAAATAAATTGGAATCATTTTTTTCCAGATTTAAATATAAGAAACTCAGTGCATGGACAAGATATTCAGATAGAAATGAATCACCCCTTGGCTGTATGTTTTCTATTGCCACACTTCTAAAAAGCTATCCATTGCATCTTAGTGAAAGATTCACTGTTTTGTGTAAAAGCTGGCATATTACTACTAAACCCAAAGGACATTGTGACTTAAAATCTATCATGATATGGCTTGCCTGCTGTTTTTTCATGCAGCACTTCATTTTTGCTTATAAACTTCAGTGTGGTGCTCAGAAGGATTTATTTTTAAATGCAGCACTCTGCCAGGATGCTGCCGTTACAGCACTTGGGAGGGAACCCTGGCCTGCCCCAAGGGAGATTCGGGTGCAGAACGGCCAATTGCTCAGATTTTATAGATTCAAAGTCCTAGATACACATTTTTCTCGGTGGCATCACTGAATTCTATATCAGTCTCCTGTATCCACTTCTGAAATTCAGCAAGGAAGCGTCAGCATTAAAGAAAACTTTTATTTTCTGGCAAATCATTTTGAGTAAAATCAAGCTGGCAGTGGAAAAAAGAACTCAAAGAACATCATATTCATCCTAAAAATATATATAAACTTGACAGTATTTGAAGATGTTCTTCTTATTGGGGAATTTGCCTATGTTTGTCAAACGAGTTTACTAAAATTCATATAATAGCATTGAATACATTACTTTTTAGAAATTTCTATTAAGGTATAACATACACAAAAGTGCACATATCATCAGGATACAGTTGGGTGAATGTACACAAATGTACATACCTGTGCAGCAGGCACATTTCCAGCCCCCTAGAAGACCCTCTCATGGTCCCTTACAGTCACTCCAACCCAGCTCCATCCCACGCTTCCTGCAAAGATAGCCATAATCCTAAAACAGCATAGATTCATTTTGCCTGATTTTTATAAATGGTATCTATCACCCAGCATGTTGATATGCTCCTTTATTTTAGTTCTTTTTCTCATCATTTATGTTTGCAAGGTTCATTTGTTGTTGCATGTACTTATATATCATTTGTTCTCATTGCTGTATTCGAATCATTATATGAATGTTTTATTGTGTGAAGATACTAAAATTATTCTTTCTACTGTTAATGGGTTAATTGGCTAATTTTCAGTTTGGGGTAACTTATAAATAGTATTTCTAGGAACATTCTAGTACATTTCTGTTAGGTATATACCTAGAAGTGAAATTGCTGAGTCATAGCTTATGTATATATTCAATTTTAGTAGATGTTACCAGTTTTACAAAGTAGCTGTAGCAATTTACACTTCAGATAAGAGTTCTAGTTGTTCCACACCCTTGTCAACACTTAATAATCTCTGTCTTTCTTCATTGTAACCATTCTCTATGTAATGCCATCTCATTGTAGTTTTAATTTGCATATTCCCAATGACTAATGAAGTTAAACATGTTTACAGGCCATTTTAGTACCTACTTTTGTGAAACACACATTCAAGTCTTTTGCCTAATTGTCCTATTACATTATCTTTTTCTTATTGATTTCCAGGAGTTCTTTATTCTACATTAAAGGTGTGTGTGTGTGTGTGTGTGTGTGTGTGTGTGTGTGTGTGTGTATGTAGTGAATATCATCTCCCACTCTGTGGATGACCTTTTGTTCCCTTGATAATATTTTATTCTTACATTCTTATTCTTTTTTATTTTTTTCAATTATTGTTGACATGCAACGATACTATATTAGTTTCAGTTGTACAGCATAGTGGTTAGACATTTATATAACTTACAAAGTGATCACCCCAATAAGTCTAGTACCTACCTGGCTCTATACATGTAATAGTTATTACAATATTATTAACTATATTACCTATGCCATACTTTACATCCCCATGACTATTTTGTAACTGCCAATTTGTACTTCTTAATCCCTTCAACTTTTCAGCCAGCGCGCCACCACCCACCCCCCGCCAACCCTCCTCCCATCAGGCAACCGGCATACATTCTTATTAATAGAGTATGTCTCTTTTTTTTCTTTTATGATTAGCATCTTTTGTGTCCCATTTCAGGAATTTTTGCTTACTCCAAGGTCACAAAGATGTTCTGCTTCTGTCTTTATTGTTTTACCCTCTAATCTCAAAACACTAAGAATATCTTGAGTGTCTAAAAAAGTTTTTAACTTTAATACATTCCATTTTTCTATGCTTTTTGCTTATGCACTTTCCTCAACCATTCTCCCATACCCACTTCTCAAAATACTATTCCTCATCTTACCTTACGAGATAGCTCATCTATGAAAACATGTATGAACCCAACTCCTAATCAGATGTAATTTCTTTCTCCTTTGAACATCCTTAACATTTTGTTAATAATATATAATCCCTGACACATCCTGCCTTTTATAAACATCATGGATTTAACTATGTATGTTCTCTGGGGATATGGCATAGTGTAAGAGGAGTATGAATAGTTCATATCTACAGTAATTGAAGCTTGATGAACACTTGCTATATGTCAGGCACAGGATTAAGCTCTTTGATAGAACAATCTTAATTAGTTCTCCTATAGTCCTATGATGTAGGCACTCTTATGTGCCCCAGTTTATGGAAAGGAAAATAGAGGTATAGAGAGTAAAATCACTTGTCCAAGGTCAATCAACAAGAAAGGGTGGCCCTGGAAGGCATCAGCTTTCTCCTGAATTGGTGCTTTTGATGTGTGTGGAGCAGCGTTACCTAAAGGACATGCAATAGCGTCATGGTTATCCAAGAAGCTCTGTGAAAATAAAAAAGGGATTGATTCACAAACAAGACATTGAGGATAGAAATGATATAAGCCTAGACTTCCACAGTGTCCATTAGTATATTAAAAGCTCAAAGATGTTTTACAGAGAAGAGCCATGTTACACTTTGTTGAAGCCAGTATTTTCTATATGTATTTGATAACAGAATCTTTTTCACATAACAACTGTATATATAACCTACTTTATGGAATGGTAGCATAATTTAGAATCAGATGAACAGGAGTGTGAATCTAGGCCCTACTATATACTGAGTAATCTTAATCTCTCTAAGCCTCACTCTTCTCATCTATGAAATGGGGAGAATAACATAAACCTCATAGAGTTGTATTATAATTTAATTCAATAAGGAATACAAGTCACTTAGCACAGTACCTGGCATAGAGTAAACTCTCATTAGATGGTAGTAGTTGCTATTATTTTATTGCCTCTTAGTAAGTAAAATACATTCTCTCTGACTCAGTTTGTAATCCCTGTAGCTGTTAGCACTGGCCCATAAGTATTTATTGAATTAAATAATTCTATTATTTGGAGATTATTTGAGGTAACTATATTCTAGGAGCATATCTCAGAGAGCATTAAAAAAATTTATATATTTTAGTTATTTTAACATCAGATACTATATTAAGTTTCAACTAATTCCAAGCTTCAAAAGAGATGCATTTTTAAATTTCTTAGTTTGATGGTAAAAACGTTCCTGTCTACAGCTGGAGGATATGTCGATATAACTGAAGTGTTTTCAGGGGTGCAACAGGGTGACTATAGCATCGTAGTAAAGAACAGCATTCGGTAGTCAAATTGCCTAAGTTTGAATCCTCGCTCTTCCACGTACAAGCTATAT